GCCACCCTCCTCCCTCTGCCAAGCCTAAAGGCAGGCATTCTGGGGACAGACACTATAGGACAGGAGAGACATTTCCTGGTTCCCCTATACCTGACAGGAAATCCTGACACTCCAAGCTCACTGTTGAAAGGCAGGGGCTTTTGGAGGCCAGTCACTTTTGCCAGAACACAATCTTCAGATGTGAAAAGTATTATATAAATTGTTACTGAGCGTGTGTTGTAGTTTTCTGTAACTTATTCATAAGGGAACCAGTGAGGCAACAAAGCTGGTTGAGAAAAAACTAAGAGAAATTTATACATAAATATGAAGAGAGGCAAGAGAAAGGAAAGTGGAAGGAGATGCAAGAGAGTACATTAAAAATGCTGGGATAAGATTGCCAAGTTACATCCAGGTGTGGTTTCTCATGACAGGAGGCAGAGGCGGGAAGATCATGAGTTTCAGGGCAACCTGGGCTACATAATGAGACCCTGTTTGAAAAAAAAAAAGCGGGGGGGCTGGTGAGATGGCTCAGTGGTCTAAAGCACCTACTTAGAACAAGCTTAGCAAAGCACAGGGACCGCGGTTCAGTCCCCCAGCACCACATGCCAGCCAGCCCTGCCCCCTGGTGGGCTGAGCTGGCCACACACACACACACACACACACACACACACACACACACACACTAAAATAAATAAACTTTAAAAAAAAGAGAGAGAGAGGGTTGGGGAGATAACTTGGCAGCATAAGTGCCTGTCCAGCAAGCCCAAGGTCCCAAGTTTGATCCCTGGTACCACTTTCCATGCCAGCCCCAGAACTAGATGTAGTGACACATACTTGTAATCCCAGTGCTGGGGAGGCTTGAGACAAGAGGATCACTGCCATTCCAAGCTGCATAGCAAGACCCTGTATCAAAAATAAAATTAAAAAATAAACTAGAATTTAAAAAATAAAAAGACTGTTAAATCACATGCGAAGCTAAGGTAATGTCTAGAAGACTGTGATAGCTGTAACTTTTAGGGATAAGTGCTCTATTGGACAAAAATTACTTACGTTTTCTAACAGATACTATTTGCCTCATCAGTTTTCTGCACATGCGCCCCTAGAGCAGCGATGGTGAACCTTTTAGAGACAAGTGCCCAAAACTGCGACTCTGCACCCACTTATCACCAAGTGCCAACATTACAGTTAAACCTGAATACTGAGGTTGAGTTTGGAAAAAGAAATTCATACATTAACACCTTTTGTTTTGAAAGAACAAATAACACAATGCCATAGGTTCACCACCACCACCCTAGAGAATCTTAGGTAATGTTATCAGCATTACACACTACAGTAATGTTATCTAGTATAAATATAATGCAAGTCACACATGGACTTATACTTGTCTTTTTTTTGGGGGGGGGCAGAACCAGGGATTGAACTCGGGCCCTTGTGATTGCCAGGGAAGTGCTTAGTCTACTGAGCCATCTCCCCAGCCCCTTGTCATATTTTAAAATATAAGAAGAAACAATGAGATTGGTTGTGATAACACTATATAGATATACAGATTACATATATATATATGCAGATAATATGCAGATTTTTTGGGGGGTACCGGGGATTGAACTCAGGACCTTTCACTTGCCAGGCAGATGCTTATGTCACTGAGCTATAGCCCAGGCCCCCTGACATTTAACGTGCTCTATCTGCAATATAGTTTCAATATGTAGTAAGTACAAAAAATTACTAATGAGTTGTATTATACATTTTTTTCAAACTAAGTCTTTGAAAACCCAATGTACATTTTCACTAGCACATCTCAGATTGGGACTAGCCACGTTTCAATGGTTCAGTGCCATTCGGGGCTAGTAGCTAAGGAACTGGATAGCCCAACTCTGGAGTAGGGCTCTTGGGCTTAAGGCCACCTGAGACCCACCTGGAGGACTTACGAGAACGGAGATATGTGGGCCACGCCTCAGCAGTTTGGATTCAGCAGGTCTAACATGGGCCTGAGTGCCTGCATTTCTAGCAAATTCCAGGGTTGTGCTGCTACTGCTGTTCTTGGCCCCATACTTTGGAAACTATTCTTTCAAGATCACTTTGAAAAGATGCACAGTGATCCTTTCTGCTGGATTTTGAGATTGTGGGTAATTTTCTTTGCACCTCTATCTGGCAGGTGGCACTAGCAGCAGGCTATCTGGAGGGTGTTTGTACTGGCTCAGCCTCTGATGGGAGCACCCTTGTGGACACCCCACTGGTTGTGGATGTGAGCCCAGCAGCCTCACTGGTGGCCTTGCCTATGTGCTGGTCGTGCTGGGGCCCTCAGGAGGGAGGAAAGAGACTGACTCTCACCACCTCTTGGCACGCCTGGGCCTTGTGCTGGCTTTGTACTCACTTTGTGGATCATGCCAAGCAGGCTCCAAAATTGCAGTACCCTAGCACAGGCCCACAGGGATAATGAGGATCCCACCACTTTCAGGGAAAGGAGGCCTCTGAAGCCTAGAAAGGTCAGAAAAGGTTGGTCAAACAAGACATGAGAACTGGTTTAGAGGCCCGGGAGATGGCTCAGTAGAATAAGTGCTTGCCTGGCAAGCACAAGGGCCTGAGTTTCATCCCTGGTTCTGCCAGAACATAAAAAATTAAAATTAAAAGAAAGAACTGGTTTAGACCAGAGGGTAAACAAAACCTGTACTGGAAAAGAAGAACATGGAAGAGCTGCTAAGTAAGGACTGTGGAAGGGCCAAGGAGGGTTCTGGGCCCTAGAGGAGACTGTGGCCTGAAGGGGCAGGAAAGGGCACCAGAGACAGGGCTGGAAGGCAGACAGCCATCAGTCGCTCCTCTCCTGGTCCTGGATACAAAATGATTCACTAGGTCACGTGGGGAGCCAGACCCAGGCCCATCCCAAGGGCCATTTCTCTTGATTGTACGGGAGCGGGGTTGGGTCCAGTAGGCAGGTGCTGATGTAAAGGAAGGGAGTATCATCTTTTGAGGACAGCCTGTGCTTGTGCAGTACCAATGGCATCCAAGGCTTGACAGCATTAAGCCCTTCGGGATAGGATAGTGACCCACCCTGATGTGGGTGGACATACCTGGAAGGTCAAACCCTACAGGGTTTCTGCTCTCCACGATGCTCTGTAGGTGTATGCATGGGCTGCCCTATGTGAAGCTCTTTCCTGGGGGATGACCACCGTGGACAAAAAGGTACATTGATGTGATATCTCTGTGGAAATGTAAACAAAAGGGTTTCCAGGGGGTCTCAGTGCAGGGGGATCGGATGGTGCTGTGGACAGGCAGAGCTCTGAGGGGTACCTCCAAGAGAATGTCTGCCACCAGCTCCCCATGAGGGACTGCCCCCTTGGATACCTCTGCTCCAGGGTAGGTGCCCACTCTTCCCACCACCTGGGGATCTCTTTTTTGAGATCTAGACTTCCAGAACTTACAATAAATCTTCATTTGAACATGAATGTTATATTTTTGGACTTTTGAGGCAATTCTGGTGAATTAAACAGTACATACCTAACTACTGCATATAGTAGTTAAGAGTCTCATCTACTGCTTACTCTGTATAAAGTATGGTAAAAATTCTTTCCAAATGGGTGGAGGTAAAAATAGGATCCTGACCAGAGCAGTTCACACAGTGACCCAAGAGTGTCCCAAATACCAGGACTGCCCCCACATTGATTTTAGCCCCAGCACACTACAACTGAAAAGGGTGCCCCAGACAAAGCTCACAGAGGCCCATGGGGGCTAAGGCAGACACTGGTAGCATTCTGAGTTTATTAAGACTATTGTTGGGCCAGCCAAATAGCTCAGCAGATTAAAGTGCCTGCTTAGGCAGATGCAGGGGCCAGAGGTTCCATCCCTGGGCCTGCTGTGCTGGCCCCACCCTCGGAGCGCACTGAGCTGGCGCTTGAGACCTGGTTGGACGTGGTGGCATACACCTGTAATCTCAGCACTTGGGAGGCTGTAAACAGAGTCCAATCTACATAGTGAGACCCTGCAGACCTTGTACTAAATACGTTAAAAAAAGAATATTGTCCATGGCTATGTTACTAGTGGGTGACAGGCCAAGACCCCCCTCTCCCCACCCACTGCCTGGAAAGACAGGAGGACCAAATATTCATGTGTACAAAAAACAGCCTCATCGCTGCATACACTATTTTTTCAATTACTTTGTGTGAAAAGGAAGATAAGTCACTCCGTATCTGCATCTGCAGATACCATTGTGTGTAACGGGTACATGTTCTATGGATAAAATGGATATACACTGTGTGGACAGGGGTCTGATAGGGGCTTCTGCTGTATGGGAGAGCTATACAGTAGCTGCAATGGCTGTATTCTGGGTTATACACAATATAAAATGGTGTGTCAATGTACATCACTGTGACACACTGTAGGATGGGCATAGAGCATGTGGCAGATGTAGACACACATATGTTTACTATACCATCCGTGTGAGATGATGATAGGCTATGTGGAGCACACACTGTACATACTTGTGTGAGTGCAAATCTGTGAGTTATAGTATATAGGCATATACACTGTCTATGATAGTGTGTATATATATGCACAGGGATGGTTCTGTCTGCTCTGCAGGACAGAGATGTGTGACTAATGCATTGTACGTGTGAGGGGCTCATACAAGGACCAATGTGTGATAAGTTCACATATGCATATACACTATGTGTGTGATAGGTATACAGCATGTTGGGTATAAGTTATGATAATATGCGCATGTACTTAGTATATCCACTATATGATGAATATATGTTGTGTGAGTGCAATAAATCCGCACTCTGTAGACAGATAAGCACTGTGTGGTCTCCATAAGTGAATGTGGGGATACTCTGTAGTGAGGTAGTCCTTGTGACGGGCCTCCATAGTGTGTATCAGGCACCATGTGTATACACAGCTCATGAGGGGAACATGGGTGAGCACACAGGGTAATCACTCAGGTGGGAGGGGACATGGCAGGAAACAGTTGATCTTCATCTGTTTCCAGAACCCTTTGACCTTTGAGCCAACCAATTACACTGTTTCAGGTTCTTCCTCAAATTCTTCCTCAAATGCAACCAGAACTGCCTGAAGAATGCAGGGAATCCCCGAGATATGCGCCGCTTCCAGGTGGGTTGGGGAGAACCGGCCCCACAAAACCATCTTTCTTTGACAAGGAGGGGGAAGGAAGGCTGAGCCCCTGCCAGGGCACATCCCTGCCCAGCCCTGCGCCTCCAAGGCCTGGTGCCCGCTGGGGGTGGGGTAGCTCCATCTCAACTTGTGCTGGCTGCCAAGGGAGGCTTCATTAGAGCCCCACTTAAGAAGATGCTAATTGTGACATTTTTACATGATTAACGACCCAGGTAATTTGCATAGTGTGAAGCGGAGAGCAGCTGCCCTTAGCACATCGCAGCCTGCACAGCCCTCCCAGTGCCAGGGGTAGTGGGAGAAGGCACCCCCAATTTCCTCCTCAGAACAGGGTGGGGCTCCTGCTAGTAGGTTCTCCAGCTCATGCTACCCCTACCCCACTCCTTGCCCCAAACGGCGTTCCTTCTTTGAAGTCCAGTACATACAGCCTGGTGTTTCTGTGTGTGTACCAGTAGTGGCCACTCTCTACCCAAAGCGCCAGTTTTTTCCAGGGCTTTTAATTTTCTAGCTCCTGGGATGTTAGTTCATCTAAGGGTGTCACATGATCTAGCTGGCCCCAGTTTGGTCAGCTCTACACGAGGAAGCTGAAGCCACTCAACACTGACTCCCAGCATCCAGCCACCTCCCTCAAGTTGCTAGTTCCCATCACAGTCCCCTCTCAAGAACCCCAGCGGCCCCAGCTAGACCAGCCTTGGTTGTCTCCGCAGGTGGTGGTGTCCACAACGGTGAGTGTGGATGGACATGTGCTGGCTGTGTCGGACAACATGTTCGTGCACAACAATTCCAAGCACGGGCGCAGGGCCCGCCGACTAGACCCTTCTGAAGGTCAGAACCCCCAGCCCCGCTCTGGGCAGCCCTGAGTCCCCACCTCATGATTGTCCTCTAACCTGGGTCCTCTCCTACCTCCCAGCTGCCACCCCCTGCATCAAGGCCATCAGCCCCGGGGAGGGCTGGACCACAGGAGGCGCCACTGTCATTGTCATCGGCGACAACTTCTTCGATGGTTTGCAGGTCGTGTTTGGAAACATGCTCGTGTGGAGCGAGGTGGGCCATCCCCACCAGTCTCCCTCTGGCCTGGGGCTGGGCCCTCCCCATGGGACGGGACCTGCAGGCCTCCCCTGTCCCCTCACAGCTCATCACGCCCCATGCCATCCGGGTGCAGACGCCCCCACGACACATCCCTGGAGTGGTGGAGGTAACTCTCTCCTACAAATCCAAGCAGTTTTGTAAGGGAGCCCCTGGCCGATTTATCTACACAGGTAAGGCATCAGGCTGTAGAATAGAGGGCCCATGAAGTTAGTTTTGTGAGAACCCTTGATCTTCCAAACCCTAACCTAGTTCTGAGGAGTGCAAACTCCGAGGTTGACCACGCCCCCAGAAGGTGGTGCCACGTGCACACACACACATATGCCCATGTAGATTTTGCCCACTCCTGGCACAGGCCTTCCTTCCCTGGCCTCCCATACTTCCCTCCGTGACCCTTGGCTCTTCAGACCTTTCCCCAGCATTCCCTCTGCTTCTGGCCTTTTCACCAGGGCTTCCCTCCCTTCTCCATCTCCAGAGTTAGAACCTTGGCAAGGAATTGTTTAACCCAAGATGCCCCCAAATGGGCTCGTTGCTCCCCAAATCTTTCCTGGGTCTCTTGGTTTCCCTAGGCCACCCTAGGCTTCACTTTGCGTGCACAGGTATGCACACACACATAAGCACTCTTGCTAGACCAGGGCAGGCAGCTCACCCTACACACACAGAATAGTGGGGACTCCCCTTCCCTGCTGATTTATCCCGCAGTGACCTGGATCTTCACCTCTATCCTCTCACTTCTCTCATGACCTCCTCTCCCTTCCACAGAAGTACTCAGAGGGTGGTTGACACCTACCCAATGCTCAGGAAGCTCAGGTATAACCCAGAAAGCTGCACATCTAGCAGAGTTGGGGTGGGTGGAGTTACAGCATCTTAAGGCTTGTCTGGCCTGAAATCCCCCGCCAGTGAGCAAGCTGAGCTGGGCTGAGCTGAAACTGGAGAAGATGGGATGGGAATGTGGACACTGAGAAGAGGGGTGTGGTCGTTGGAGAAGAAATGGCCAGTGCAAAGAGCCAGCAGTGAGCGTTTTAGTTTTGGGGAAAATGGAAAAAATTTACTAATGTGAAGTTGCAAGTAGAGATGGTAGGATTCAGAGATTGGTGAATTCGGTCAATGCCAGGCATGCTACCCATAGAAGTAGCACAGAGGGCTGGACGGCAAGGTGTGGGGAGAACAGGGGAGAGAAGAGGAAGGCACATGGAGCAGGCTGGAGGCTGCTGCGGTCCTGATGTGGGCCAGTTCCTTTCCTGGGATGCACACAAAACCCCTGTCATGCTGTTCAGAAACCACTGAGCCATGATAAATGGAGATTGTTGGTTTTTAATTTTTCCTTTTTATAAAACATGACTAAATGCAAACAGAAAACTCTCCCTCAAGTCCTGCCCCAGACGGAGGTCCTGCCCTAGGAATATACGATCCTTCATCCCACACAAGTGGGATTGTATAGTGCGTGTATGTTGATGCCAAGTGCCTGGCACAGAGCCTGGCTCAGTAGATGTTTATTTAATGGATTTAAAAAAGGAACTGAGGAAACTTCCCTGAACCTCAGTGATCTGTGTGCCTGGGGCTTTCCACGGAATTTGGGCTTGGCTCGAGCCGGGCATCTGCAGTGAGGCTCCTGGACTGGTGCTCAGGCACCTTTTGCTCTCGGTGACCTCTTCTGGGAGGGGCGACCTCCAAACACTAACCTCTTCTCAGCTCTGAATGAGCCCACCATTGACTACGGCTTCCAGAGGCTACAGAAGGTCATTCCCAGACACCCTGGTGACCCTGAGAGGCTTCCCAAGGTACTGGAAGGGACGGGACCGGAATGCGGGTGGCCCATGGGCAAGCGGCTGAGGAGGGCCTCGTGGGATCCTCTGCTACCTTCAGAGGCTGTCCCTCTTCCCTCAGGAGGTGCTGCTAAAGCGGGCGGCCGACCTGGCGGAGGCACTGTATGGCGTGCCCAGCAGTAACCAGGTAGGGCGCCTCCGCCCGCCTCCCCGCGCCCCGCCCAAAGCAGCCCTATCTGGCGCGCGGCTGCCCCGCCGGTGCCCCGCTCCTGTCTCCCCAGGAGCTGCTTCTGAAGCGCGCAGCGGACGTGGCTGAGGCTCTATACAGCGCTCCCCGGGCCCCCGCTCCGCTCGGACCCCTGGCCCCCGGCCACGCGCACCCGGCCGTCGTGGGCATCAACGCCTTCAGCAGTCCGCTTGCCCTCGCTGTGGGGGACGCCACGCAGGGCCCCGAGCCGGGTGGGTCCCCCACCCCATAGTCCCAGCCCGGGATGGTTCCACCTGCCTCCACAGCCTGACTGGCTCTCCCTCCCTCCCGCAGGCTACGCGCGCAGTTGTAGCAGCGCGTCCCCTCGTGGGTTCGCACCCAGCCCCAGCTCTCAGCAAAGCGGCTACGGAGGCCTCGGAGGCGGGCTCGGCAGCTACGGCGCGCCAGGCGTGGCCGGGCTTGGGGTGCCTGGGTCCCCGAGCTTCCTCAATGGCTCCACTGCCACCTCGCCCTTTGCCAGTGAGTGTCCCTGCATGCACAGGGTAGGAGCAGAATGTGCTAGGGTGTGGACTCCCGGCGAGTGCTGGCGACTGCGACTCGGGCCTTGTGGTCGGGGCAAGAGCAGTCCTCACTGCACTTAACCTCTCTCAGCCCTTGCTCTCCTGGGTAGTCTCAGAGCCTGGGGCCTGGACACTTCTTGCCTATATCTCGGTACCCAACGCTAACCTTCCCATCGTCCTGAAGCCAGCTTAAAATTGAAGCACCCGGCTGAAATTTGGGGGCCGCCCTTTTTCACCTCACACCAGGACTTCGGGAGGAGCCTGGCGCCCCCTGCTGAGCCCCTAAAGAAACTCAGGGACTTGAGAAGCAGGTGCCTAGCTGGCCCACGCCCCAAAGGATCTGCCTGGGTGGTCCTTGGGTAGATGTAGCTGCCCGAAGAACCATCAGGCAGAGCACCAAGCAAATTGTGTGGCCAGAGCAGGATTCAGAGTTTGGGGTTCGAAATCAGAAGCTGTTTGACACTTAGCAACTTACTGTACTTTGAAATTCAGCTTCTTAGTGGATCAGTACTAACCTTTCCCCCTCCGCCTAGAGAAGCTGTCAGATCTGAATGTTCCATGGTGCAGAAAGAGCCAGACAAAATTCAGGAAGGTAGTATGATTTCACAAGCCCAGCCCTGATTGTGGGGGCTAACCGGTCTCACTGGCTTCATGGAGTGAGGCAGCTCAGAGCTGGGTGGATGGGTAAGGTCTGGATATCATTGGTGAGTGATATCTATAACTACTTTGATGCTTTGCTATTTTACACTGCCCTCTAGTTCCTTCCAGTACCAGTAGCTACTCAGCAGACATTTACAATGTTTGCATCTATTGTGTGCAAAGCACTGGGCTTGAGGCATAGTTGCAGCCTTACTCACCTGCAAGAAATCTCCCTAGCGGTCATAGAGAAGTTGTCCCCCCAAGAGACCTCTGAGCCAGAGAACTGGGAGGTTGCCCAAGAAAAAGCTGGTGGTGGCCTTGCCTGCATTTCTCTCACCTCCTCTCTGTTCTCTGCCATTGCTAAGAATAGAACTGTCTAGCCACCCACCCACCTAGGGGTCCTCAAATGACTTGTGTCCTGGGTGCTGTTTTTTCTGGCTAAGGGTTTGAACGTGGTACTCCACTGATCTACATTCTGGCCCCATAAGCCAGAGTCCATTCAACCGTGGCCCACTGTCACTTCTCTGGTTTCCCTTGGATTTAAATCTTTCCCTGGAGCACATCTCCTTGCCCATCTATACACAGTGCAGTCCACAGTAATGATAGCTGGCCACAGAGTACAGAAGCCAGTCAACAGGGGTCTCCATTCAGTGGGAAAATAAGAATTCAGTGCATCAAGAGGATCGAAGTGAGTTCAAGGCCACCCTGGGCTACATAGTAAGTTCAAGGCTAACCTACAATGTAGTGTGAGGCCCTGTCTCAGGGAGACAGAGAACTCCAGTGCCTCTTATGTCCTCCTTCCAGCATCAGCATCAGCCTGGAATATACCCAAGAGCCATTCCCATCTCATTTTACTGTCTGACCACTGCTTGCCCTAGGTCCCCATGTGCAGGACACTTTGTGGTATGACTGCATGGGATGTCATTCTCACCGAATTTCTAGGACATTACTGGAGTAACATCAGAACTGTTCGAGCCAAAGGGTCTGGGACGTCTGTATAGCTCTCCCTTTTGTCTTCTGTACCAGCTGCCTGCAAAAAGCAACCCTGGAATGAACCATAGCTCCCAGCACTCTCCAAGATATAACCTATGGTTGCGAGCACTCTGAGACAGGAGAGAAACATTTTCTGGCACGTGTCATAAGCTTTTCTTAGGCTCCATTACCAATGAGAACTGTCTTAAAGGAGATGGCAGCCATGGGCCAAGGACAGATGTGGAAGGCATTACTGTATCAAGGTCATGGAGGGCTCTGATGCCAGAGACAACTTCTCAAGCTACAAGATTCTTCCAGGAAGTCCCACCCACTGCCTGTTGCCTGCTTCTTGGACAACATTCAAACCACAGCCTTACTGCTCTTTAAATGAGAGAGGCTGGGAATTGGGTTCAGATGAGTACAGAGAGAGACAGGATCCAGAGAGTTCTGAGCGGAAGCCCTCAGGAGCAGAGACTTGGGAAGGACAGGAAAGGCCTGTGTACAGAGGGCTCCCTTTCTGTTCTGGAAGAATATGCCATAGCCCTGAATGGCTATGAAGGTAGAGAACAGGAAGCTTTGAGGGTGTAGGACCCTCACTTTCCTTTAAAACCATTGAGCTATAAGGGAAATACTAGAGGCCTCCAGGCTCCAGACTGGAATGACAGGAACTTACAATAAGCTGGAAGGAAACAAAGTGTCCAGAGAAAGAGAACAGAGGGAGAGAGTGTGGGTGGTACTGGAAAGAAAGGCTTATTTGTGGAGGGATTTAGGATGCCTGTGTGAATTGTTTGCCCCTGAGCAGAGAGGCCTTGTAACAGGGACCAGTATGTATTCCAGGTTCCGTCCCTGACTACTTGCCCAGCTGCTTTGACTCTAGCTCTGGCACCCCATAAATGTCTCTTAGCACCTCAAATCCCAGGGATTTTCGGCAGGAATCCTAACCTGCTCATTTGTCATGTTCAGGGCTCTCACTCCTGCTTGGTTTTGTTGGGTGTTCTGGTTTTGCTTTTATTTTGACAAGTCTGGTCCTGTCATCTCCAGCTCCACTCCTCCCAAGAACTCCTAATAAGGCAAGAGCTTCCCAGGACCCACAGGGTCTCAGCCCACCTCCTGGCTGCACTGGTCTCCCCAGATCCTCATAACACCCAGAGGGTCTGAGCCTGTGCCTGCCCAGCAGCCCACATGGCCTCAACCCCGCCACTCACTCTGGTGCTGTCTCCCTGTTGTGTCTCCTGCCCACCCTGCTGTCCCTGTCCCTCCCTGCCCCGCCCCGGAGTCATGCCCTCTAGCCCCCCACTGGCAGCTGCCTCCTCCATGTCCCTTCCGGCCGCTGCTCCCACGACCAGCGTCTTCTCCTTCTCACCTGTCAACATGATCTCCGCTGTCAAACAAAGGAGCGCCTTCGCACCTGTGCTGCGCCCACCCAGCTCTCCACCCCCGGCCTGCCCCAGAGCCCATGGAGAGGGGCTTCCAGGTGAGTGGTCCATGCTTCATCACCGTAGCCTGGGGGAAAGGCCCTGGTGGAGAAGCTGGGACCCAGAGGCTCGTTTCACCCCCATCATCCTAACACTTCAAGCTAGATGACCAGCTGGCCCTAAAGGGTCCAGTAGGAAACTGCAGGTTGCCAGGGGAACCACTGGGACTCCACATCCCTCAGCCTCATGCTCAGAGTGGGCAGCACTCTGGATTCTTTTATCTGGCCACTTTGTGAAGGGAAAGGAGACTGAAAATCTAGCGCTGCAGAAGATCTGGAAACTTCAGCACACACTCATGCGGTCATGACCAGAGCAAAGAATGCCGTGTGGTCTGTGGACCTTTTTCTGTGCTCCCCTATGTCCACCAGAGGGTAGCACACTGCTATGAGAGGGCTCCCTTGGAATGAAAGGGATTAATCTTAAATAAAGTTTAGCCCAGTTTCCTTTCCCCCATTCCGTGTCATGCTGATAAACGACATGGTTGTCCTTGCACACCCATGCAGCAGATCATTTTAGCCAGCAGAACTTTCCCATCCAGGTGGCCCTTGGAAGCTTTCTAGCAGACATGCAGAGACTGACTGTGGGGAAGGAGAAGGAGGCAGCCAAGTGTCCCAGGAGCCAGGGCTGGTTGGGGGCAGTGAGGGTATCTTCCCTGGGAGACTTGCAAATGTTTCTCTGTTGGCTGTGGGGCTGTTTCTAGGGGATCTCCTGGGACTCAGTCCGGAGCATAGCACATAGCTCAGTACCTGGTACACAGCAAATGCTAAATAATTAGTGGTTTAATTAATGAGTCAGAAAAGTTCCCTTCAAGCCCAGAGGCAGAGGGCTGCAGTACAGTCAGCTGGGGTACAGCATGTCCCATTGGACATTCCCCAGATAGCCGTGGGTAGGTAGGTATAATTAGGAAAGCAGCAGCACTCAAGTAGGTAAATGGCCATATTACTAAAGATTTTATTCAGAGCCTTTGATATGCTAGGAAACACTGTGGCTCTTCTAGGAAAGAGGAGTTACAAATTTATTTGAACACAAAGTGTGTTTTCCAAAGAACGTTTTGAGAATTATTCCTGGGGAGGCCCAGGAACAACTTCTGGTTTTCTTAGCCTGAAGTGAACTGCTCTAACCAGGATCTAGTCATAGGACCTAAGCCAGTGCCTAAGGCCCTAGAGTCACCTCTGGATCCAAGTCAGGGCCAGGTGGGGCAGCTCCATGGAAAGACTAGGCAAGATTCTGAGGGGCCTCATTGCTCCCCAGGTCCCTGTGTGAGAGGGTTCAGGGACACTAGTCCCCCTCGTCTTTCTATTACACTGGTGGCCCCGGGCTGGGGCTGGGGCTAGGGGTGGCTGTCAGCCTTCAGGAGCTACTGCATGTCCAGTCTGCTGTCTCCAGCCCCCCAGAGAACAACAAGAAATTCGGGTCACCAGGCTACACAGGGCTGATGATTCCTTTCTCCTTGATCCCAGATCAGCCTTTTGAGGACTCTGACAAGTTCCATTCTCCAGCCCGGGGACTTCAAGGCCTGGCATACTCCTAATTATGGTAGGTCTCTGGCTGGCTCTTGCCTCCTATCCTGGCCCTAGAATGGGTTCCTTTCTCCAAAAGGCCTTAGCAGGAATGAGAAGCTGTGGTCCAGGCCACCTTGGGGTCCATCTAAGTAGCAAGCTGAATGGTGGAGAGAAGTGGCTTCCTATTCCCTTGCAACCAGCCTTCCTCCAGGACCTTCTTCTCCCCTCTCCCCACCAGGTCTACAAGTGGTGCCCCCACTGAGCCCGGACTGGATAATCCTTCCAGGATTGATACCCAGGCCCTGGATGATGGCACAAACATATAGGGCCAGTGCTGTGGGCAGAACTCTACCCTGGACCACGTGAGAGAGGAACCCCCTGTGCTCAAGGTCCCCTCAGCCCTGCAGGCTTCTCTCACCTCCCTCATCTTTTTCTTGGGGCTGCTAGGAGCCCCAGCACTGTGCTGATGCTCTCAGCAGAAGAGCATCCCAAGGAGGTGCTGGGAGGCCAGGCCTCCCTCGCTGGTTCCTCTGGAAGAGGTCTATTTTCCATGGACCAGGAATGGGATGCGAGAGGAGCATGGGACAGGGACCATGGGAAAGAGGACAGCTCAGGAAGAGGTGACCTGCAAGGGTCCTGTTTGCACCTGCCCCATCTCAACTGACTCACCATCCCAACTTCTCTCCAGTGGAAAGGGTGGTGCCTAGCATCCTCAGGAGGCCACCCAGGCTCCCATGGAGCTTCCAGTAGTCGCTGGACCGTGTGGCTGCCCCCATTCCTTCAAGTCCTGCACACTCATACTTGCCATATCATGCCTTCTTGTGGGGGCTTCGGCATGAAGGATGAAGAAAGGGGGGTACCAGGACTTTTTGTTTGGGGGACTTCCCCCCATAGCTATCTCATGAACTCTGTCCCCACACTCAGGCTGACTCTGGTTGGCCCCATGAAATTGTGGCCTCATATTCTGCTCTGCTAAGTTCGGAGAAAACAACAATAAACCAGATGCGGGCAGCCCCCTGGTCTCTCTTGCCTGCTTCCTTGGTGCAAGCCTGCTTCTCTCCGTGCCCTGCAGCTCTCACAGGGCCCTCTGAGCCATGCCCCAGGACAGCCCTCTTGCACCTTGGACTTCATAGACAGTCTCAGAGTTAAGCTGAGTGGCCATTTCCTGCCCCATGTCTACTCTGGTCCTGTGTGTTGGAGGAGAATAGGCTAATGAGGACCCAGGAAATGGCTTCAGCTCCAAGAGCTCTGCATGTGGACGCAACAATGCCAGAGAGGACTCAGTCCTCTATATGTGCAGCCAGGACCAAGATGGGGGCTGTCAGCAAGACATTGCTGGGAACCAGGATGAAGCAAATCAAAAACTACCCAGATGGACAGAGATCCAGAAGATTCAAACTCAGGCTAGAAGCCCTCATCTGGGCATGATGGGATGCTTTCTGCGTCCCAGAAGCATCCCCTCTGAGATACTCCAACCCTTACTCCCAGAGTATAGGCACCTTCTGGCTTTCCTGCTTCAACTGGCAAGGAAGATGGAAAGAAAATTGCTAGGCCCATTCACCCACCCCTGCCCCAAAAGAATCCCAGCCACCCCTATTCATCCTGTCACTGAGCAAAAGTCTGGCTGTTTTTTGACCTACTACCCAGTGGACTAAGGGTACAGCCTGGACCTCAGTGTTTCTTCTTCCTAGCACTTCTAGACGCTGGCCTGCAGAAACCCCGTCTCCCCATCAGTGTGCCCATGTCTTGTGCCTCTGGACACTCTTGCCAAGGCTGATGGGCTGGTCCTGTCCTTCAGGGGACCACTGCTTTCTCTGATGTTCCTGGCCAGCACCGAGAGTTCACTTCACCTGGGACTCATGACAGAGTCATCCTGCCTCTGGTTGTCTTGTCCTATTCCAGCACTTGCCTGGCCTCATCAGTTTGGCTGCACAAGCTCTGTTCCGCTCAGCTCCGAGCACTTCCCACTGCCCAGGGCTCCCCCAGGATGAGCCCCTGAACGACTTAGTCTGCATTGGACGTAGTTGTAAGTGGGTGGTGGTCATACATTGGTGCTGGGGATGGGACAAGTGTCATGATCAATATTAATGAAACATGATATCTGTCCACAATGATCCCACAGTGTTGTGTAGGCTACCATTTGCATCAACACTGCCTTCTCTCTCATTCTTACATAAAATTATACGTGGATTGTAAATCCAAATGTGCAGCCTGAGGCAATAAAGCTTCATGCCCCTGAAGATAGATGAGAATCCTTTTAGGCAGCTTGAGCTCTAAGGACAGGTTCCCTATCCACAGAGCCAATTTTGCAATGCAGCAAGCACTGGATATCTTTGAGGTGCTTCAGATGAACCCCAAGATCTCTATTCTGTAGGATAACTTTTCCAAACAGGAAAATGGTCAGAGTTGATGGTGTCTGTCTCCTCAGGAAGAGACAGGCTCTTCACAGCGACCCTGAAGTCGTGACTCCTCATCTTGGTGTAGCCACCTTCCCCTACCCCATCCTCTCCTCTGCAGTTCCATCCTCTGCCACCACCTCAGTGGCAATAACAACAACCACATAAGCAATTCCCATGGAAAGGAATGAACCAAAGTTTGTACAGTGACACTGAGCTATATCCCCAGCCTGGTTCTGGTGCACAGTGTGAGCTAGGGATCCATTTCTTTCATATGGATACTCAAGGCCCTACAACATGTACTAAAATGCTCATCTTCCATCTCACTCTGGTGGAAGCTTTGTCACACATCAAGTCCATTCTGACTGGACTGTTCTGATTCTCTACTCTGATCATTGTTGTGCCTGTCCTTGTCCCAACACCACACCATTTTTGTGACTTTAGTTTTCCATTGAGCTCTGATGTCTAGTACAGCACATTCAACCTAGTTCTGCATGATTACCTTGGCTCTCCTGGGTCTTTCTTCCACAGTAACTTTATAATCAGCATACTCATTTCTTTCTTTTTCTTTCTTTTCTTTTTTTTTTTTTTTGCGGAACCGGGGATTGAACTCAGGCCCTTGCGCTTGCCGGACAAGCGCTTATTCTACTGAGCTATCTCCCTTGCCCCCCTCATTTCTATTTTTTAAAGCCCACTTTTCTTCACTGAGATTGCATTAAACTTATAGATCAGTTAATGGAAAATCAACAACTTTAAAATATTATTTCAGTCTATGAACCTCTACATTTTAAAATGCTATTTGATAAGCCTCTGTGTGAAATCTTTCATTTATCCCTAAGTATTTTATTATTTTCTGCAATCACAAATGTCATTTTTCTTAATTTTTTTATCTATTGCAGATACATAGAAAGATGATTGCATATATGTGTAGTTATGTGTGTGGTACTGAGAATTGAACCTACAGCCTTCACACTGAGCTACACTCCTAGTCATTTTTTATTTTGTGTTAAGACAGGTCTTGCTAAATTGATACCTAACCTGACTTGAATTTGTAATCCTCCTGTGTCAGTCTCCCAGCAGTGTGCTGGGATTACAGGCATGTACTATCATACCAGCTTTTAATAATTGATTTTCTTTTTTTTCTTTTGAGAGAGGCTCTCACTATGTAGTTCAGACTGGCCTTAAACTCACTGTATAGACAGACTGGCCTCAAACTCTCAGCGATTTTCTTGCCTTGGCCTCCTGAGTGGTAGGATTACAGCTGATATATTCGTATCTAGCAAACTTGTTTAGATTACATATAACAATAATTAATATTTTATCCCTAGAGTGACTTGGATTTTCTTAAGTACATGATTATATCGTCTACAATCAAGGACTGTTTTATTTCTTCACTTGCAGCCTTTATTTCTTTCAATTTATTTTCTTGGCTAAATGCTTTGCCTGGAATGTTTGGTACAGTACTGAAAAGAGGTAATGATAGTGGACACCTTCACCTTTTTCTTTATCCTGGATAGTAAACTTTTAACATTTCACCATTAAATATCATGTTTGACTTATATATACTATTCCTTTTTTAAAGGTATTTAGTACAGAGTTTACAGGGTCTCACTACACAGATCACAGGGGGCCTCCCCATTAGCTCATCTGTTTAAGTGATTGCTTAAACGAAGCAGTCAGGCTCAGGATGCTGTGGCTCGATCCCCAGATCCTTAAACTTTGCCAGACCTGCACTGAAGGCATCCTGAGCCAGCCAAAAAAAAAAAAAACCCAACTCCTTCACTTCACAGATCAGACTCATAGTGATCTTCCTGTTTTCAGCCTCCCAGGTGCTGGGATTACAGGCCTGTACCACCACACCAAGTTGTAGTCGTAGTCTCAATGAGCCCCAGGAGCAGGGCCAGCATGGCAGGTCAGGAATTAAACCCCAGCCACTGTGCTCTGCCTAAGCAGACGCTTTAGTCCACTGAGCTACCTTGCTTCCTGATTTTATAAAAATTTCAAAAACATATGACTAGATGCCAAATTTTATGAAATGTTTTTCTGCATATGTTGAGATGATCGAATGACTTTCCATTCTCTTATGAATATGCTAAATTACATTTCTTATGCATTTAATGTTAAATCGTCACATTAACTACATGTTTAACTGTAAACTTGGTAAACTGACGTATGTTCTTTATCTGGGGTTTTTCAGTTGTGACATGTAGCTCTCTCTCTCCTGTTTCCCCTCCTCCTCTTGCACAAGGAACCTTCTGGGCCTGTCCCTTCCCCACCTCTCAAGAAGTCATGCTTCTGGAAAACAAAATACAGAGGCTATAGACCACCTCAGTACTTCTTTCTATACTAGCTTCTGCTGCCTCCTAGGATCAAGGGAGGAAAAATGCAAGAACAAACATAGATTGCTCTCCATTAACGTTCTACCTCAATCCGACCCATCTTTTGCCATCCTGTTCTAATTACGATCCCAACCCAGCTGACTCCTCAGGTCTTGTCTCCCTGTTGAGATCCAGCAGAGCCCTCTGGTGGGTCTGTGGACCCCTCCACCAAAGCAAAGGAGTCCCAACCCCGTCCTCGCCCTCAACCTTGAAGGGGGAGCCCAAAGTCAGCCTCCAGGGGGTAGGCGCTACAGGGAGGCATCCTGAGCCTTCAGGAGATTGGGGGTGCAGGGGGAGTTCTGAGTGCATGGGTCTCTTCTGGATGGAAGAGATTTCCTGACTAGAGATGCAGAAGAGGTGTTCTGGCAAAGCAATAACAGAAATAAGATATTCCTTTTTTTCTTTTTTTTTTTTTTTGTTGTTGTTGTTATTGTTGAGACAGGGTTCCACTATGCAGTTTGGGCTGGTCTAGAACTAACTTTATAACCCACACTAGCCTTGGAACTCTTGGTGGTCCTCCTACCTCAGCCTTTGAGTGCTAGGATTACAGGCCGTGCTACTATGCCAGGCTTGACGTTTGTGTTCTTTGAAAAAAGGATCTAAAGTTTAAAAAAAAAAAAAAAAAAAGGAAAAATGCTGTCCAAGAATAGAGGTATCGTTCCTTGGAGCTTAGCATCCTAGATCTGGGCTCTCCAAAGCTTTTCTGCCCCGTGCCCATCAGCCTGAGGATATAAGGCACTGGGAGCACTGCTGGCTGAGGGTGGTGGGAGCTCAGGCTGTGTGTATAGTTCCTACACACTTGTCTCAGGACCAGGGAAGAGCAAGAAAGCCCTCTGGCCTGCCTCCCTGCCCCTGGGGCTTTTCTGGGGGTTCCACCCACTTGCGAGCCAGACCACCCCATACACCTACCCACTTACCCGCAACTAAGTCTACCTTCAGGTGGGTAGAGGAGGACCCAGCACCTTTCAGACTGATGCTGACTCAAGTCCAGCCAGCTTTGGCTTCTGAGGTGAAAGTTGGTTTTTCTGGGCCAGTCCCCAGGCTCTACTTGGACCTGGGCCTAGAGGTCCACCTTGCCAACACAAACTGTGGCTGCCAGTGGAATGTGTGGAGTGGCAGCTACGCAGGCCCAGTCTGGCAGGCTGTCAGCAGTGCCCCACTAGGTCCCCAGCATGGCATCCAGCATCCATCCATCCTGGGGTCAGGCCAGGCCAGGCCAGGATTAG